ACTGTCCAAGAAAGTGTATGTCTATAAATGTACAGACTGTGAGTAAAATGTTTAATATCTATTCAGAAAATTAACTTTTTCCAAATTAATTGACCAATGGAAATTTTACCTCTACATGTTTTATCTCTAATTTGAAGAAGATTGTAGTGGCTTGTTTTAGTAGGCAAGCTCCCAGTGAACTTCCCCCAAACCTACAAATTATACATGTGTTCATATCTAGAACATGACAAGCTTAAATAGAAGAAAGAGGTCAAAGGATTTCCCACAGTTAAATGCTAAGCCATGCCATTCCGTCATCACACAGAGTAAGTCTGATTCAAAGCTAGAATCATTGTGGAACTGAAAGGGAGTTAATCTTACCTGTCTCCTACCCCTGAGAAAGTTTATCCCTAGAGAGTAACAAATAGGCACTCATCAGGTCTCTCTGTATGAGCAGACCAGGCAATACGAAGTGTTTCCCAGGGAAAACAAGTGTGGCTCATTTTGGAATCTTACAAAATAAAGCTTCAACTATTCTTAGGAAAGCTTAATGACTGAGGAAGGAGAGACCTGTGTGTTGTCACCTCACTTTTCCCAAATCCAGGCTTATTCTAAAGGCTTGGCTTCTCATCTTCAGGTCATGGGGATACTTTCTGAGCATGTTCCACACTACAGCCTTGGAAGCTGGAGCAAAAGAGCAGGCACAAAGCCGAATAGAAAAGGGAAATCTCTGCTCCCTGAAATGGTGCCCTCACAGTCTGTCTCTTGGTTTGAAGCTCAGGTGAATTATGACTGAAGTTGCACAAACTTTTTTTTCTCTTCACATTGAACCTTGGTTATTATAAATGAACAATTTATGAGGTACAACATGTCCACACTCCTTTGCACTAAGGCATCACTCAAATGCAGGATCATAAAAGTGTCAAGGATCCATATGGTCTAATGTGTCTTATAGTATAGCCAGTTTAAAACAGAAATTCCTCTGGAATTTCGTCAGTGAGAGTTCACACCATCAATTTTTTCTTCCCAGGAATTAGAGACCACAATAAGCTGTGAGGAACACAGCAAAAGTAGCGATCATAAGAACCCACAAGTCATTTAGGGAGCACAGTGGAGAAGCAAACTGTTTTTCAGGGCTGTACCGGAAATGAAAGTATAATTTATAATGAACCAAAAGTGGAAAAATGTGTTCTCACAGCTATGGCTTTTACCCTTTCTTTTTGATGTTCATTGTTCATTACTGAACTCTTTCATTCCTCGGTACTGTAATGCACATTTCATTCAGTTGATCACAAATAGTTATATTTCTCGGTCACTGGCCTTTTGGCTGCTCTTTCCCTACTATTAGTGAGCAAAGATTGGAATTTGAAGTGACTCCCATCCTAATCATACAGCCATTTGGAAAGATGGCATAGTACAATGATAATTCACCCCAGTACAACCTTGGGTCTGAGGGAAGTGATAGTGGGAGCCATATCACACAAGGAAGCAGCTCTCTGTACTCAAAACAAGTGCTCCGAAGTCCGTGCAAGTCCTCCCTGGAGCTTTCCTGACTCCAATACTCTTCCTCTGTGGAATGCCTGATACAGTCATACTGGGAATGCCAAAAGGTTTAAATAAAGTTATGGACACCACAGCTTCAGACAGGTATTTAAATGACCATAAAAGTCCATCTCGCCATCCAAAGAGTATGCTTTCATATGAACACAAGGCTTAGCCCTGGCCTGATTTGCCTGATCAGTCATGCTGTCCAGTGAGTGGCCTTAATTAAATTACCTCCCACATATGTTCCCTCAAGCACAGTATTGTTTTGCTGAAATATTAAAATAAGATGAGATGTAAATCTTCAGATAAATGTCACTCTTACCAGAGGCTTAACATTAGAATCCTTAAAGGGTTGAAAACATATAGCAACATTATCCTTTTAATATCCTCGACTGTACTCTAAAGGTAAATTTTCTCATGCTATACTTGGTGTGATATATGTTTATAATTTGACCTATGGGGAGAAAAATGTCTTTTTGCTGGAGCATCTTACACATTCCACCATGCATCATTTTGCCTTTGTAATGTATTAGAAAGGGAAATCAATAAATCCACTTAAGCTGCGTTTGCCATTTTCAATACATAGACTTTAATTAGTCTGGAAATGTAATTTCAAAAATGGCATCTTTGGGTAGCTGTCTGAAGGAGTATGATTTACATTTCTGTCAGCCTCCTTTTAAAATAGGAAATCACCATGCTATGAGCTAAATAATGTAGACAGTAAAATAAACATTATGGTATAACACATATTTTTACCTGTGTTTTGGAATTAGATCCAATCTCACAGCTTATAAATTTGTTTTATTCAGCAATTTAAAACTTAGTGCCTCCGAAGTTAGACATGGGATAAAAGGGAAGAAAACTGAAAAGGAGACTCAAAAAACAGTCCTTGCTTAAGAGTTATTAGTATGTCAAAGCATTTGTTAGTAGTACAAGTTGACAGTGTAACCCAAAGTACTTTCATGAATAAATATGAGACCATCACGGCTTCAATAAATGGAACTTAATTGCTGGCTGGGAAGTAGGTCCTAGAAAGATTATGATAATATAAAATGTCAGTTTTACACCTACTAGAAGTATTTAGAAGGTAACAACCTTCCATCTCTGATACGGGTCTACCTTTCTGATGACGAGATAGTTCTCATTCAAAATTCTGTACAGTCACAGTAAACATGAAGGTTCTTAAAAAGTAATAATCCTGCTAGAAAACTAATTTGCCTTTACTGTGAAAGCACAGCTCCTCTGGCAGGAATAATCACTGTGCCTCCTGTGAACAAGACTGGCTCACCACGCTAAACCAACAGAGCTCCATAACAAAGCAATCAAGTTTAATCTTATTTTAACATTTTAAAATTTATTGATAAATCTCAAGTCTATGGTGCTTCATATAGTACAACTATATTATAAAATTGCATTATCTTAACATTGAGAAGTTCTAGTGTCCATTCTCATTCTGCTTTGAATGCTCTTTGAAGTTGCTCCATCTATAAATTATTTTATTAAAGAATAATCACTTATATAATTATATATCATGACTACATAAGATTATTTATATGACTATAATAATAATGTTCTAAAATTTATTCCAACTTAAAGTTAACTTACATATTAAAGTTTAAAAGTGTAAAAGGGATGGTTCTTATAAGAATTTTTTATACATTTGTTTTGTTTTTTATTGAATTTTTGTAATTTTTATGCAATATGGTTTGATGATATTTCAATCCTCTCCATACCTTCCCCAACTGTCCCCTGTCCAATTTAATGTACTGTCATATGTATATAATATGTTCTATTTTGTCTGAATTTTGTCCCCAAGTGTCCTTCAGTGTGGATTGATCCATACTGAACCACCAAGAATTCCATCCCTATAAGACACTGTCTTTCATCCTCCCAACAGCCATCAATTCTTGCAAGAAATTTCTACAATTATTTTATCTATAGTGTGTCTAATGCCTCAGAAGTGTTTAGCCACTCTTACTTTTTGACAATATGAAAAGCATGTTCCGTTTCTCATAGAGGAAAAAATATCCTGCCGCTCTCAGGTGCGATTCAGCTCGTCCTAACATAACTTTTATCTTCTTCAGTTCTTCTTGGCAAGGGGTTTGTATAGACATGGTTTGGGAATGTCTCTATTGACAGGACTACAAAGAGGAGGAAGAATATTTGAAGATGTTAGGAAAGGAATGTTGCCATAGTGAAGAGGGAGTGACAGCCCATGCATGTAATCTTAGCACTTGAGAGGCTAAGGTAGGAAGACCGTGAGTTTGAAGCTGGTCTGTGAGACAGCATAACCCTGTGTGGAAGAAAGAAGGAAGGAAGAGAAAGGAAGAGAAATTATACACAGAAACAAAAGAGTGTATGGGGTAATAGTAACTGTAATAGTAAAGAAAAAGCACTTTATTGAATAATGAGTTTTAATAACAAGCAAGTTAAAAACAAAACGAATATTTTCATGGATTTTTTTTCTAAAAGACATCTTAAGTGTTTTCCATTGGAAAGTGCAAAACAAGTTATATGAGTCTCAGCATCCTGGGCTTTACCTTGCTAGATACACAGTGAAGGACTTTGGGATCTTCTCAGTGCTCTGCAGCCCTGTCTGTTCATTCCTCTGTGACGCTACAGCAGTAGATATGGAAGGCAGAATGAAAATCAAGGGACAGTCTAGCAATGCCATTTTGTATGTATGCAAGAGTTCCAGATAAAGTTTCTCAAACACGTCTGTGTGTAGGTAGCGGGGAAACATATCACTTGTACCCTTACCTAACCGTGATAAATTTTACGAGGGTAACTGATCTCCAAATACTTCCAGGACAGGGAGCTAGGATTTTCAAGGTCCTAAAAATCTAAATGTGAGACATTTCTACATCTAAACGGTGTTTTATATTCATGTCAGTGAATTTTATGTTAGATGTAGCATAGGTCACATCTTAATTCTCACAAATGCTCTCAGTTACCAGAATGAACCAGTTTAACTCAGCTACTTAGTCATAACTTCAGCTATCCAAATTATTAGAAATATCAAAATATTTGGACTGGTGTCAGATCAGTATGATCATTGATTTTACACTTTTCATCTTAGTATTCTCTGACAAAATATAATATGATTTTAAAAGACACTTGCTGTATAGATTTCAGGTTCCGGACAGATTTCACTTCCAAATAAGTATTTTTACAGAATAATAAAACAATAATATTTTGAAATGGTGTGGGTTTTCTCATCCTCATCTAAAAGAATTTATATTTTTTTCTATTTTTGGATATGAGGATACGTGACTATACATACTCAGACATAAACAGGTAAAACTGTCCATTAACTTCCATGAATTTTCAAAGGAAAAGGTCCGGAAAAACAAAAATATTAAAATTGAGCCCAAGGTTTTGGTTGGGGGGGTTATAGTAGCAATAAGAAGAAAATAAAGGTGAATTTAAAATGCCATAAATGAATTTCGATTTTAATTCCCCATCTTCCCATCCAGAACAAGTGCCACCCAGGACCAGTTTTCGAATGGATTCCACTGGCAAGTATTCTTCAGCACACACGGTTCTGTGAACACACATCTTCCACCCTGTGTAACCAACCATTCTCCGGAGCAATATCAGCATTTGGTTATGTGATATTCACTGTGCTAATTTATTCACTATATACATATTTCCAAGAAAGAGACCAAGTCTCATCATGGTGGGTCTCAATATTTGCAAACAAAAACAAATATTAATGGATGTCCTTCATAAACTAAAATACTGAAAGACCACATTTAGAACCAGCTGCCCAAGAAAACCATGAGACTAGCTCTGACTGTGCTATCTAATACAGTACCACCAGTTACTGGAATATGAATCTAGGTGTATTATAAAATGAGTGTAAAATCCACACTGGATTTCAAAGACCTAATACCAAAAAAACCTCATTAATTATGTTCTGATAATTTATGTTAAAATGATACATTGAATAATTAAGCTAAAATATATTACTAAATTTTATATTACCTGTTTTGCTTTTTAAAAGGTGTCCATGAGGCAATTTGAAATTACTTGTATAACTTACATTTTATTTAAATTGGATTTTGCTAGGCTAGATAAATAGAAATAAGCTAGAATATCTCAAAAGGCAACTTAAACATTTCCAAAAACCTTATTAGAAACTTTGCTAACATAGACTGAAATTATTTTCAGATCAATTAAATACCTACATTAACTTATTTTTTTAATAATACCAATTACAAAATACTGTATTTTGATGAAATTTTAAGCTAGGATACAATATTATAGCTTCCAGTTTAAGAGCTTTAGAAATATCAAAATAATTTTACTTGAGAATTTTTTTCATTTAACCATTCCAAAAATACTTATCAATTTTGATTTAAGCTAAAATATATAACGCTATTGTAGAAATGAAAGAGGAAAAAGAAGAGTTAGATTTTCTTTCCTCCCTAATTAATAATGAAGATTCTCTGAACAATTTGATTAAACCACTAGACTGAAAGATTGAGCACCCAAAAAATTGCAAAAAAGAGGGGTTCTTGGTGACAGCTGTTTCAGGTCTGTGGGCTCCAGCACAAATCTCTAGTGTGTCTCCATGATGACACTGTCCATCAACGCATGCTCTAACACCCCCTGAAGAATACACATGCTTGAAATCATCCCATCCCACAAGTTTCCATGTCATTTTTAGATATGCACAAAATGTGGAAGACTTTACTTAGCATTTTGCCTTCAAACAATGTCTAAAGTAATTGTTTAACTTGGTCTGAAATTTTTAAGTGTGACAATTTGTATATCTGACTGAAAGACTGACTATAAAATCCTTGTCATTTTTAAGAATATCTTATGCCCAGGTAGAAAATGAAGCCTGGCAGTTATGGTTTAAAATGAAATCAGGACTTAATATGCAATTCTGAAACTCAGTTTACTGGCCTGAGAAAACACATTTTTTGAGAATCTCAATTTCTAAATGTACTTTATTTAGAAATAAAAGAAGAAAAATAAGTATTGCCCAATTGCTTAGATTACATATATATATGAAGTCATATTTTATGTGAAAATATAATTTAAAAGATGAAAGTTATAGTTTGAATACACTGTTCTAATATGTGATCAATTTTTCAAGAACGGAACCAATCCAAATATTTTGTTATGTGTCCACATAAATTTTCAAAATGTGTAAAAAATTATGACCACGTCTAACAAACAGATTCTCACAAGTTTGAAGTGTTCTTTTTTCAAATTTTCAGACAGGCCACCCAGAACAACAACAATAAAAAAAAAGTTGAAGGATGTAGTATCATAGAAATCACTTGCAAGGGACATTTTATCTTTCTTAATATTAAACAAAAAAAAACTAGGGTCATAAAGGTTGAATCAGCAATATCAAATGAGGTGCAGCAACCAATCAGAATAAAGAAAAATGTCTGTTCAGTTTGACTATTAGAAGGCCATCCAGACCCTTATTGAGCTCAGTAATGCAGAGAGCAGAAGCCAGGCTGGCAAGAGTGAAGTCAGAAAGTCAAAATGGAGTGAAGGAAGAATTCGCCTAAGACCAAAGTTCCAAGAGAGAAGAGCAGAGGCCTTAGGAGGAAAAGGCAATATCTTGGATGAAGAAATCTGAGCATATTTGCAGGCTGAGAAAGAGAACCAGAGAGGAGGTGGCTTCCGCTGTGATCACAGCATTCTGGGCCACATTCATGTGACCAAAGGAACAAAGGAGAAAGGTGAAGAGAAGGCTCTTCCCGGGCAAAATGGACTAGTAATATTTTACTCCAGTAACTGAAAACTAAGTAATTCTTCTTTAATTCATTTATTAGCTAAGATGCATGAAAACCCAAAGCCCATGAACAGATTAATGACCTTCTCACCTTCTTCAATTCCTCATTCTTTTCTTAAACAGTCTTCCCTAGATCTTTTTACAAGAAAAACCGCCCCCCAAAGTAATGCTCTTTCCAATCAGAAAAAGAATGAATAAACATTCTTTGTGCCAAATGTGATAATAATCCATGGTACTTTTGTTTTAATTAAAACTTGAAAAAGGATTCAAGTACCAAAATTTAATTGACATGTTTACAGCAGCATCCCATGTGCCAAATTAATCCATTAAAAATGCTGTTCTTTGCATTTTTAAAGATTGAATCCATTCATGAAATTAATCAGCTGTATTCAGTCATCCAGCCTTTTCCCTAATGCTTTGGTCAAAACTATGCTTTTCAAAGGCTCAAGCAAAGTACATATAACATGTGAAGCCTCTTAGAATCTTAATGCAAAAGAGGACTCAGCTTTAATTCTGCTGTCCTTTATTATGAGGGAAGTTGTCCTGATACCATTTACTACTTTTTGAATGTTAGCTTTTGCTTTATTGATGTGAGCCCAGGCTAAGTGAGATCCTGTGTATTCCATCCCACAGGCTTGCCTCAAAGATCATATAAGATCCCATCAAGGAAGAGTGTCATGAAATGCTTTATTTCATAACACCCATATCTCCTAGGACTTAGCTTCTAAAGAAGAAGCAACATTGACCATGGCTAGCCATTGAACACTAACATCCAAGGAATCTGCTCTCTCCTTTTAGTCCATTTCTCTACACCCACTGCCTCCTCAAGCAGCATCTGGGAGTGCCACTTGACAGGCTTGCCAAAAGGAACACGCACAGAACAGAAACAAAGAAGCAGAGGAGAGAAGGATGTCGGGGGCATGGTTGAGTGACATCTTAAGTGACTAAGGTCCAGATAGGTATCTACCAGGCCCCTTTATCTGCTAATCTCCTAGGTACATGGTTTACTTATAAATGAGATAGAGGGTAAGAATTGTTAACTGCTGTGGTAAGAGTGAAGAATTTGCCCTGGGATTTCTTCACTTACATTAAAAAGGGAAAAGATAAAGCATGATACAGTAATTGAGCCTGTCATCAGGTCAGAGGAGCAGTCACGGTAAGATATTAAAAACATCTACTCTTCCCAAAATCTAGCAAAGCAAGAAGGAAAAAGAATAATGTCTCCCTGCCTTTGTGCATATAGTTTTAGTTATTTTGTAAAACTGGGCTCAAAGAGAAGGAAACCAAAGAAAAATTATCTTTCTGAAAACTCTTATTTAAAAAAATAACACCTCAAGGCACAATCTATCATTTAACTATTTTTTTCTAGTTGATTGTTTCTCTAAAGTTTCTGTGTCCTGTAGCCTTTGAATCTATGTTCAAAATTAACAAAGAAAAACTTTAAATCATATCTCTTGGCACACCTCTCAGATGAGTCCCCTGTCTTGCTGTGCTTACTTGGGTGCTACAAAGTTGCCTGTCTCTCCCTAGAAGCATGGAAGGGTGAAAATGAAGCTATGGATACTTACTACCCTATGTCTGATAGATCAGAGCAACTGTCAGGAGCTTATGCAGATAAAGAGATGGTTCGGTGGTTAAGAACATCTGCTGTTCTTTCAGAGGACCTGAGTATAGTTCCCAGTACACACATCAGGAGGCTCACAACCTGTAACTCCAGCTCTAAAGGACCTGACACCCTCTTCTGGCCTCCACAGGCACTGAATTCACATGGCATACAGACACAAACACATACACATACACAAAAATACAAAATAAAAAATGTTTAAAGAGAGATTTATGGGGCTGGAGAGGTGGCTCAGTGGTTAAGAACACTGGTTGTTCTTGCAGAAGGCCTGGGCTTGAATCCCAGCACCCACATGGCAACTAACAACTGTCTAACTCCAGTTTCAAGGGATCCGACAGCCTCTTCTGTCCTCCGCGGGCATTGCACAACAGGAGTGCACTTACCTACATGCAGGCAATACACGCACACATATAAAATAAAATAATAGATAAAACTTTTTTAAAAAAAGAGATTTATACTCATCACAAAAAGCTCACCAGAAAGGAGGAGGAGGAGGACTGCACGCTTCACATCTCTAGTCTTCAGAGTTAAATAAATTGACGAGATAGAAATCTACATTTTTCCATTAGAAAAAAAAAAAAAAAAACATACTGAGTCATTCATTAAGGAAAAGCCATTCTATTTCTCCAAGAATGACAGTGTTCTCTGACAAGCCAAACTCCTTGTACCTCAACACATCTTGCAACTCCATTGCTGGGACTGCCATAAGTTCAGCATTTCTTAGGGGAAAATCTTTTACTTAGTAAATAAGCTATAAACACAGTAAACTCCTCTTAAAGTTCCTCTAGCAGTATGGAGAGATGCTAAAAATCATTAGAGGAACAATTTTCCACTTGTGAGCACAAACCAGTGATACTGTGTGAGGAAAATACAGAAGTACGTTTTAAAAATTCTGGTTAAACATGCACTGGCTCTGTCTCTTTAAATGTCAAAAAGTTGTCACCTCCTTTTTGTGTTTCCTATGTATATATGCTCTAGACTGTTCCAAGCTTAAAGTGACTAGAGAGGCGATTGCAGTGAGTACTTTCATCATAACCAGCTTGTGGGGGCTTGAACAGTGGAGTATTAGCTATCGTTTCCCACTTCTCCTTGCATTTCTCCTTCCCTTGGGAACATTACAGGCATCTGCTATGATTTATGAGATTGTTCTACCTGCCTCCGGGTGCCCAAAGTTTTACTAATGGAATTCAAAAGCCATTGTGGATTGCATAGTGGCAGGCAAAGTTTACATCTTCTTTTTACCACTCAATTCTAACCAATCGTGAATTCTTTTAACTTTTCCTGCCTTTAAAATATGAATTATTGGGGCTCGAGAGAGATAGCTCAGCAGTTAAGAGCACTGGCTGATCTTGCAGAGGTTGTTCTATCAGAGGACTAGGGCTCAGTTCCCAGTACCCACATGGCTGCTAACAACCATCTGTAACTCCAGTTCCAGGAGAATCCAATACCCTCTTCTAATCTCTGTAGGTATTACACGACATGGGTGCACTTACACACATGCAGGCAATATACTCATACATATAAAATAAAAATAATAATAAATTAAATATTCATTATTATGTAGTTCATAATGATGACTAACGGATGTAGAAGCCTAACTGGTTACTCTTCCTTGACAGTTTTGTATTATGAATTGAACATGAAAGACCTTGATCATATGTGTTTAGTCATAAAGACACAAATGCTTTTGAGTCTTGCATGGTCTATACATGCATAGTACTTATGTGCCCAGGTCAGCTCTTTTAAGAGAGCACCAGATAAATAATTATCATTTGCTCTTATGTCAGAAGTGGATGATTTGCCTTTCATATGTCTTTGGAAATAGCCCAGGTGGTTGGATACCAAGACCAGCCTAGAATCACTGCATTTTGTATATTGTATCTATACTGTACCTACAGCTCCTTACTGCAGAGCCTGGGAAAGATCCAACAAGCTATCAATCGGTGAATCTCTCTCTTCTTACTGTAACTACTATTATGTATTCCAGTGCCTTCAACATTTTGAGTTTTTTTTTTTCTTTTTTTTTTTTAGTGCAGATTCTCATTTGAAATCTCATCCTAATTTCCCAAACTATCTTGTTTAAGTGAGGGGAAATTTATTTAATACCTGCTCCTGATACCTTCCTTAAACCAGTAAGGCTCAGAAATTGAAATATATTTTTAAGTCAAAGAAAGCTTAATAAATATTCCTTCAGATTGCTGATGATCCTGTGACATACTAACAGTGGGCATGAAAACTCACAATTCTGCCATGACTGACATGTTTCCTCTAAAGAAAGCCTAAGGCCAGGAGTGTGACAAACAAGTAGCATTATCCTTGAAAAGGCAAAATGTTTTTTATTGTTTTAGTTTATTCTAGAAATAAATGAAATGCTATTCAGGAGAATTTCCAGCTTTTTAAAGATCTAGTTCTGGTTTTTCAAGCTGACTTTAGACAGGTACCCCATCCTCTAATTTATTTTCAAGACACTAATAAAATCAATAGTTAGTTAGTGGCTTCCACATTCCAAATTATCTGGGAGATGAGCTCTTCTGAGACCTACATAGATTTCTGCCTGTAAGTTATGGAAAAACTAACAGAGCATGCCAAAAAATAAATAGTCCACTTAAACCCCACTAGAGAAAAGTTTGAGGCTTATATTTTCCAATTTTTGCAGTTTTAAAAAATACAACTTCTCAAGGCTGGAGAGGTGGCTCAGCAGTTGAGAGCACTGGCTCCTCTTGCAGAGGACCTGAGTTCGATTCCCAGCACTCACATGACAACTAACAACCATCCATAACACCAGTTCCAGGAGATCCAATTCCCTCTTCTGACCTCTGTGGGCATTGCATGACATGGGGGCACTCACACATGTAGGCAATATACTCATACACATAAAAATAAAATAATAAATAAAATATATTTAAAAGATACAACTTATCTTAGACAAAACCTATTATGCACTACACATGTATACACACACGCACGCACACAGAAACACATACACACAGAAACATACACACACACACCAATACAGAGTGCATCAAATTGTAAACAGACAGTTGTAACTCACTAGTATTGCTTTTACTATGTGCTTCCAGGTTTTACCATTTGCTCTCTCCCTCTCTCTCTGTGTCTCATTCACTTATTTCTTAGGTAATCAGAGCAAACATTCTCAAAGTCATAGCCAAGCTTCTTAAAGGCAGGGCTGGAGAAATGACTCAGCAGTTCAGAGCACTGATTGCTCTTGCAGAGGATCCAGGTTTGATTCCCAGCACTCACACGGCAGTTAATAACTGTCCATAACTCCAGTTCCAGGGGATCCAATGCCCTCTTCTGACCTCCATGGGCATTGCACAACATGGGTGCACTTACATGTATGCAGGCAATACACTCATACATAGAAAATAAAATAAAAATAATAAAACATAAAATATTTAAAAACATTACAAAGGCTCTCAGGAAAATTAGAAATTATAGAACCATCCATTTTTTTTTTCCACTCAGAAAATCTACTTGTGTTTTTCTACCCATGGGCAATACCCCAGCAATGCCATGGCTGTTCACTGTTATCCCTAAGAATACATACTTCAGGAATACGTAATTCTTTGCCACCATATTTTTATACCCTCTGTGCTCTTCATTGACTAACAGCACTCTCATTAATCACATCTACAAAATTAATTTCTCATCAGTGTATTCCATTCCTCAGGAGGTGGGGAAGAGGCACTATTCATTACTCAATGGGATTTCCTTTATGCCAGGTCCAGATTATAAGGAATTGGATGTTCACCTTCGGAGAATGGAGTCTGGATTTGGCTTCAGAATCCTTGGGGGAGATGAACCTGGACAGCCTGTAAGTTGAATCCACTTTATTTTCACACTAGGCTCAGTTGTGTGTATAGATACCAGGAGAAACATCATTCAATGTGGTATCTAAAAGGAAATATTTTAGAACTCAAATAAAAAAGATTGAGGTTTGTTTCCTCCTTTCTATTTCCTTTAAAATGGCTCACAAAATACAAGTGTCTCTATGGCCATTATCTCATCATAAGTCACATTAGGAGAGGGACATTACTCTTTCTAAGAGTGGACTAGATTCTTCTTGACTATTTCAATTGCTTAATGGTCCTGGAACATGGGAGTCTCTAAGTGGTAGCTCATGGACAATCACAGTATCACAGAAGACACGTGGAAAGATAGAGATGGCTTGAAACCACCGAATTATATATGTTTGCAACCAAAACAATTATGGAGAGAGAACATAGGAATAAAGAGAAGTAAAATCAGTTCAGTCCTGCAAAATTTCAGCCAGACTGAACTAAGGCATTTCAAAAAGAAGCTGCTCATGAGGTCAGCTTCTGTTGGAAGAATCCTAGACATTTGGGGAGGGCTCTGTAGTAATCTTTATATTAAGATATTCCTGTGGCCATATATGTGTGCGTGCGTGTGTGTGTGTATATATATATTCAGAATGAAAGCACAAATTAGCAATACTCATTGATACAGAAAATATAGCAAAACAAGATTTATGAGCACTTATTAAAATATCACCTATGAAATACTCATAGTAAAGATGTATTTAAATGATATTCAAAGAAACTAAGGCCCACGGAAGTTTTGGATAAAGAAAGAACCTGATGTACTTCATCCTAACCCATACAAGAGACTAAACTGTAAAGCTCAGTTTCTTCATCTACAAGGTGGGAGGAGCAAAAATACTTTCTCACAGAATGGTTTTAAGAAGATGACACATGTTAAATCACTTGGTGTTGTGCCTGGATCATAACAAGCTCTAAATAAATATTATCATCAACTTTGTTATCATGTTAGTGAATTTTTTCCCAAAATAAACATAAAAATGATAGGCAGAAATTTCTAAGTGAAAACAATTATTCTAACAAATGAAAATAACCCATAATAATTAAAACTGTTCCCAAATGAAGCAGATCACTTTTGTAAAGAATGAGCTACTTTGCACAGGAGGTGTTCAAGCCTGCCCAAAACCCTGGAGAGATTTCCTCTACCCCCAAAGAGGAGCTTGACTAGTTACTCTTTGGGGTCTCTTTCTGAAGAAAACTCCAGAAAAAAAGTTTCTTAATTCTCAGGAAAAAAATTGGGCACCAATCACCCAGCATCCCCTTAACCTGCCCCCCACCCCCACATGCCAAGGAAGAATTGAAAGTGCTTTGGTCAGGGATTGACCTGATTTCTTCCTGGAGGTTTTGGAAGGAGAATGTCGAGATACTAGTATAAGACTCAAGGAACTTCAGACTTACATTTACTGAGGGACTTAGTAAAGGACTGCATGTTCATTTGCTCCCCTTCACAGCTTCATTCCTCTTTCCCTCTATCACTGGTTCTGACTTAATCAGGAATCTTCAGTCACCTGGTATCGTCGTTTGGCTTATGCTGCTGTGATAAACACCATGAACAAAACCCACGTGGGGAAGAAAGGGTTTGGAACTGAAGAGAATACTTGTCCTCAGTACTAAACTGTATGGATCAGAACAAGTGGCCATCTGGAGTTTATGCTCTCTGAGGCCTGTAGGGATGAGAGAGGCCTAGCTGTAGAAGCAGACATGCAGTGGTGGCAGGCCTGTGACATGCTTCCACTCCCTCTGTAGCCTGAAACTGTTGAGCACTAACTCATTTCAATTTTGTGTTGTGTTCTCTTCTGTTCTGTTTTTAGATAAGGTCTCACTTTGTAGCTCTGGCTGGCTTGAAATTCACTATGTAAACCACACTGGCCTCAAACTCACAGAGATCCTCCTGCCTCTACCTCCTAAGCCTTTTTTTTTTTTAAAAAAAAAAAAAATTGTGATTTCCATTTTTCTCTTGAAAAACAGATCTAATGACATTTCCATGATGACAACCATCTGGAGCTCAGCAGTGTCACTTTTAAACCCAGCATGACCACAGTTCCCCAAACCGCCTTAACACCTCTGTTCCTCATTTCCACAACTATCTTTTCAACTCCCATCCCAAAGAAATTAGGAGGATGAGCATTTCATTGCAAAGGGGTCTCCAACCAGAACCAGATCATGGACCTTACGGGCTCTAAGCTCTGACAATATTATTTTAATTCTACAGAGCCTACAGGTCCTTTCTCCCATGTATAAGGACAAATAGATTATAACTATAAAAGAACGCAGGACAAAGCAACAAGTTCCAATTCTTCCCATGATATGGATGTTTATATAGTCTTCAAATTGTTAAACACTTATTCTGTTGGACCCTAGGCTTATGATGGTTTCTAGGAGATAACACCAGCACCCCATTTAGTAAATATTGCCTTCAACTGTCCCTTTCTCTGGAGGTAGAAGGGCTTGCCTGGTTAAGTCATGGGATGTCTGTAGACTTGGCTAGCTCAAGAAAGGAGAAGTCCTCCTAGACCTTGCCTGGCACTAAAGCAATAAAATTGTTACCAGAATGGAACCATATTGCTCTAAATGACACTCAGTTGTACACATGCAGGCAGACTCTGCTCAGCATCAGGACATCTTTCTGCCTGGTTTGTACACAGGTTCCTCGATTCCCAGCCTTTCTGAACACTGTCTTTGCATCCCTAAGTCCTTCCTACCCTTCAGCAGGTAGGCATCATGTATTTATCATAAGCCTCAGATTATATGGATTGCTGGTTATCTTTATTGTGCTTATCGAGATTTATTCCTGTTTATTCTTTCATTTAAATGATTAAGACATACTCCTGCTACAATTTACAGTTTTGGCACTTCAGCAATAAAGTAGAAGCCTAACTCTTCCTAATGCAAGAGAAGGTAAAAAATGATCCTTGAAACTAGAATATTGCACCCTGTCAGAAACAGTGAGTCTGCTGAAGGGTAGCTCTCCTACTCCAAAAAAAAAAAAAAAAAAAAAAAAAAAAAAAAAATCTTCCGTCAGTCTTTCCTTTCTGGTTTTCTAAACCCAGAGATAACATCTAAACCCAATGCATTGCCTCATTTAATTGCTGGTATGCTGCAGAAGATGAAGCAGGTAAGGTGATGTGGTCTTCAACAACCACAGATCTCTGGGGTCACATCAAACAGGTTTCTGCCTCCATACATATGAAGTGGTATGGACACCCTGGGGCTCACGCTGAGCATGACAACTAGGCTTTCTGCAAACAATGAACAGCAGGCCTCCCGCTCAAGCAAAGCATAGGGGCATTTTTCCTACAAAAGGAAATACTTTTCACAGTTAAATAACAATAGAAGTAGAGAGAAATGAAAAATTGCCAGAAAGGAACAAAAATAAGATTTCCGACTCTGAGCTGAAAAGAGATAAAAAGGCATCAAGATTGAAAGATCTAGAAAACACCACAGTGTATAAAAGACTGCATAAAGAACAACCTCCCCCGCTGAAAAAGATAGAAGGACAGACTTTTTCTTTGGCAGTGAAGTCATGCAAATTCCTGGAACTGGCTAGTATGGAAAGGACCTAAAGTGTTTGCCGTGGTGGCAAGTTGTCCCAGACTTTTCATTATAACTAAACAAGTCTGCCGTTGTTGCACTAACTTTGGTTGGTCAAGCTGGAAGGAATTAAAGGAATGAAAATACCTGGAGAGGTGGTTTGGGTTTTGTTTCTTGTTTGTTTTTTTCATTTTGACATTATCTTTCACCTCGTTTACTAGTGCATCAGCCACTTGAATATGAATTGCTCTTTTACATCAAATGCTATTTTGTTCTGTGCCCTCAAAGCCTGAGATAAAGTGGAGTTGTAGAATTGTAAAGTTGTTGTTGTTTTAAGAGAAAGTAATTGAAAAGCTGCAGAGCATGGGCCTTTATGGAGATGCAGCCTATCTGTTTTGCCACTGAGTTTTTCCTTCAGGGCTAGCACAATAGGGATGAGATGAGGGTTCTAAGAGTATAGAGAAGAGAAATCTGAAAAGTGGGACTGAGGCCGATCTGGTCCATTGAGACCAGAGGGAAGCTATGAAATGGGCAAGGCTGCGTTAGCTGGGCAGACTCCCTGACAAGTACGACCATGGGTCAGCCAGAGCAAAACGAAGATGAGACTTGAAACATAAGGGAACCCAGGCCAACAACTTTCCATAGGCCTGGAAGGCAACCAGTGTGATGGGCCAGGGACTTTCAGTCACAATCCTAGAGAAAACCTCTCAGTAGATTTGGAATGTGACCAGTAAAATCATAGATCCTGTGACCATTGGCCCGAATGGGAATGCTCAGAGGCTGGCCATTAAAAGCATGATTCAGGGGCTGGAGAGATGGCTCAGCAGTTAAGAGCACTGACTGCTCTTGCAGAGGACCTGGGTTCGATTCCCAGCACCCACATGGCAGCTATGAACCGTCCTTAACTCCAGTTCCAGGGGAATACAAAGCTCTCTTCTGACCTCTGAGGCATTGCATGACATGGGTGCACTCACATACATGCAGACAATACACTCATACACATAAAATAAAAATAATAAAATATTTTTTTAAAAAAAGCATGATTCATCCAGCAACTCTTAGGCTTATTTGGTATGCAAAATCTCATACTGCCCCTCTGGCCTGTAGACTCCCAAGGGTAGATCTAGACACGTTTAAACAAGCTCACAGGTAATATCCATGCACTCTAAAGTTTGGGAACTATTACCTGATCAAGTTAGAACTACTCAGATGTCCTGAGACACATTCTCAGGAGCTTAAGCCAGTCTGTAATACATACATGGGGAAGCCAACCTGAGTTACAATGCAAGTGGGAGTTATAAATTATCTAGTCTCTACAGTTAACATAGAAAATAGGAAATAATAAAATGTGTCAAGTATGCAAATCATATTTGAAGGTTTTTTAAGTGGGTTTTTCCTGAATAGAGAGAGACACATAAAATTATCTCTGTGTCACTAATGAAATATAATGCACAAAAGGGTTAGAGACATGGCTCAGCAAGTAGGAGCACTGACTGCTCTTGCAGAGAACCCAGGTTTGATTCCCAGCATCCACATGGTAGCTAACAACTGTCTGTAACTCAAGGGGAGTCCAATGCCCTCTTCTGATTTCCATGGGCACTGCATGGATGTCATGGGTGCACTTACACACATGCAGGCAATACACTGATACACATAAAATAAATAAACAAATAAAACTTTAAAAAAGAAATATAATACACAAAGGTACAAAACTGCCAAGGCTAAGGAGCAATGGCAGCAAGAGAGCTGGAAGCAGTGACAGTGTGAGTGGCCAGCCTCTGCCCAGCAAAGGCAGCAGCTGCTGATGGATGGAGCAACGTATCTAATGGAGGAACACCTCCTGTGCCACACACAGCACAGGTCAAGGCTGCTTAACAGCCATAGCAACCTTTTTAAAAACAAGGTAGAGAGTAGATTATCAAATATAATTAGATAATATCTATACATAAATTAATTATATAATACTGTGTAATAGATGTTGACATTATATTGAATTTATTTATAATACTTCAAAGTATCAATTAAATGTTCTGTGTAGAAAAAGCATAGGAGTTGAAAGAACAAAGTAAACGAAGATTTGAAAGATGAAAGCTTCACGTTTATTTAGAAACTGTGTTCAGTGAGCTTCAGTGTACTCAAATGCCAGCTTCTTAATGATGCCTACTCTAGCCAACTCTAACATTGCCTTGACCACATGGTTCACACACACACACACACACACACACACACACACACACACACACACACCCTGCTCCGTTTTTTCCCATTTTACATAAATATAGGTTGCATGTGTATCGCATCTTTTATGCACCATGAGAATGGTAGTTCTCTGAGGCTTCCTAGCATCTATAAAGTATCCTTGGACTCATCGAATATTTATTGAAATGACTTAATGAAGAAAGTACCATCTATCGCAAAATATGATAGGAAAGCAGATGTTTTACTGGACTCTTTTAATGAATAACATTTAACCACTAATATAATGTGGCTTCAAGAATACCTGTATATCCTTGTAGTTTTCCCCATAGCGAAAAAGGAACAGGATTTTTCAGTGTGCAACTTTATCTTTACTATGCTTACATAAGGCCCAGTGGTAGGCATGGCTCTCACAGATGTAATCCCTTGTATTAGTTACTTTTCGGTTGCTATGATAAAATAACATGACCAAAAGCAATATAAGGAAGGAAGTTTATTTTAGCTTCTGTTTCCAGAGGGCCAGAGTCCATCATGGTGTGGAGGCATGCTGAGAGATCACATCTCAACTGCACATGGGAAGCAGAGAGCAAAATGCAAGTGAGGCAAGACTAGAAACTCTCAAAACCCCCAGTGATGTACTTCCTCCAGCAAGGCTGCACCACTTCCACCAACAGCCCAAACCTATGGGGGACAGTTCTCATTCAACTACCATATCCCTGTATTTTATTTCAGTTTCATCAGTTAGAAGCAGGACTCTGCCTTAAGCTTGGTAACTAACCAGCCAAGAAGTTCATAAACTATTTTTCTCTATAACTGGCTATAAATGTCCCTCCCTGCTTCCTGTATACAGGTAATTTAAAGGTTGGAGCATTTTCTTTGAGTTAATCCTACTAAATGCAGCTTTCCATGGAGCAATGGAGAAACATAAACACTCATTTTAACTGGCTTTTGCACAAAGAACTTAAAAACTCTTTGAAGCACTCCATAGTGGGTTGAGCCTTTTGAAGAACAGACTGGAACATCTTTAGAAAGAAATTCATAAATTCAGGTTGGCATGACAATAAGGGAAGATAGAGATTGTCAGAAGTATACCCAACTTCTAGACTATGGCAAACAGGTACAGGGAGTTGAAGGGAAAGAGCTAGACTGTACAGTTAATGCAAGGCAGGAGGTGCAAAGCCTTCCTTATGATAGCAGTAATGAATGGCTTATCCAAACACGGGTGTTCATCAGAAGCGGTGCTATTCCTCACACCCTCAGGGATAGAAGGAAGCAGAAGGACTATAGGGAATTTTCATTCCTCTGGAGAAAGGTAGCTATGCAATGTGCCAGCTGTGGGAAATCCTTCAAGCTGTAATGTTTCCTGTACCTGAGAAGTCCTAGGCATTCAGATCCAGTTGTCATGTTGACAGGCCACATGAACAACATGACCAAGTTCAAGGAAGTGCATTCTGATACCAAGCCTGAAGACTTGCACATCAGGCTGGAGCCAGTCTACAAACTAGCTGGAATCCACAGATCTGAGACTTGAAAGAAATTACTGTGCCTGGAAGAAATCAATTTGTGAGCAAAGGATCACTTTATAGCTTTATAAGGATTTAAAACCTGGAGTGATGCCTCTAATATTGTCAGACTGATGGAAAGCACTGCCTTCAAGAACCATGTGGCTCAGCCACTGACAAAAGAAAAAGGAAACCTGTTGTGCATGACTTGGAAAAATTGTTTCTAGGTTAAACAGCAGAACTAAAAATATTTAGTACTGTTTTCTTTCCTCTGAGAAAGAAAAAGGCCTTGCTTATAGACACTAAATTGAGTGTTCCCGTATACATTGCTCTTCATCCACATACTAGTTTGGAGTATTTTAACAATTCCTCAGTTCCTAGATGTGCGGCCTCCTCCTTTCCTGGCATGGTAGCCATCTGCATGCCACAGAAGCATTTCAGGGGGGAAAAAGAACTGAGGATACTCTTTGCACAGAGGACAGTGCTCCAAGGAAATCCTGACCGGGAGAGCACGGATCTGTAGACCGGCCAGCTGAGAACACTTGAGTAAGCCGATTGGCCAGAAAAACCAACCATGGCTTTTGTTTTGTTTTCTCTTTACCCTCTAGCATCTCAAAGCAAACAACTAAGAAAAGAACTTTGAACCTTTGTCAGCGTTTAATAATGGGCGGCAAATGGTTTCCCCATGATAATGATATATTTTGAGCATGCTCTTATGTGCCATGCAAAAAGCTAAAACTCTCCACCAGCAGATTCTCTTTCAATTCTCCCAGCAACCCTATGAACTAGGTTCTAGCATTATCCCATTTTGCAGGTGAGGAAAATAAGGCTCACAGAGCTTACCAAGCCTTATTCAGACCTACAGAGTTAAGAACTGGAGCCAATACTCAATCTCCACATTATTTCCTTGCAGAGGGGTAGCCTCTGGGGTAGCCAATTAGCATCAGCTTATTTTGAGTTCGTATTCTCCTTACGGATGATAACTCAGCCAAGAACCAAGTGTCCCCTAGACTTTATGGCAACCAGTAGTAAGTCCGAGACATTTATTTTTCCGGAAGTGATAAGCAGTGGGACAGAGTTCTTGGAGGGGCAATCGTCCAGTCTCTCACTGTCCATTTTTCAAGCGCATGCCCCTCATAAACTTATGTGATTGCCCTCTCCTCCTCTCTGCTTCTCTAGATTTTGATTGGAGCCGTCATTGCCATGGGCTCAGCGGACAGAGACGGCCGCCTCCACCCTGGGGATGAGCTGGTCTACGTGGATGGGATTCCAGTGGCGGGCAAGACCCACCGCTACGTCATCGACCTCATGCACCACGCAGCCCGCAATGGGCAGGTTAACCTCACTGTGAGAAGAAAGGTGCTATGTGGAGGTACGTACCATGGCAGGCAGCAGGAATTTGGAGAAAGGTGGTGAGATGCTGTGGCAAGACACAGTCTAGACACAAACTTTAAATCAGTTTCTGTGATATATAGTCAAAGAAGCAACCTAGATATTCTAAAAGTAGCTGTGATTTTGAAAGTGCAGGCTTTCACACCACTAGTACAAAAAAAAAAAAAAATCCAGTCTTTGAGTCCTACATTTTAAATGAAGTCATTAAAATTTTCTACCAAAGCTTGGGGCTGATTTAAGATATGTATACTTTCTGCTCTTTGGTAGATGCTAGTTATAAGAAAAACATTATAATAATGGAAAATATGCCTTTTGAGAAGGTTTCTCATTGTGTTTACAAACAAAGAACTACAGCATTTTTATGCCATAATAAGGAAAGCAGGATGGAAAATTAGCTTTCACTGTAGAGCCTGATAAAAGGTAACAATAAAACTGTTACCCTATATAGGGAAATACAGCTCTCACTCTGAGAAAACATAATTCATATAGCTCTAAACTTATGAAACAGATAAATTAGAACTAATTATTCCCTTTATAGCTATTTTCTTGGCTTCATAAAAGAATCCACTAAAGACATATTTTTTAAAAGTCAGCCCATATATTCATATGATCTAATTTACTTCTCTTCACTATCTCAAGTCCCAAAAGAGATTTATTTTTCCAGAGGATATATCTATTACAAATGCCATACTGGTTTTATAATCTGAACATTGAATAATGTTGGCATTATAGATTTTTCCTAAACTCTGATTTTGCTTTGTCTTATGAATCGCAATAGCAAAAACCACAGCAGCCCACCAGCCTGTCTCCTCAGCACCTTGACCACCCTCCTACACACTCACTTCTAGTTAGGAGGGACCTTAACATGAGCTACTTCTCATTACAGATTAGCAAACTGAGGCTCAGAGGATAAAAGCTTGCTCAGCAGGCCCCAGTGGGCTAGTGATGATGCCAAGTTGGACTCTTATCTCTGAGGCCGACGTTTATTTTTCATGCTATTTTCAACCCCCAACTCCATTTTAACACACTATCCCCACCCCCAGTGACTTCAAAGACCAATCATTGGCGAGTGTCACTCCCTAATGTAAGGATTTTTCCATATGTGCTATTACATATAACATTGGAATTTTTTAAAAGGCCGTCTGCTAGTCACAGACTGTGAATAGGAAGCACAAGATTTATTACATGGACTAAATATCTTTTTTCTTTCTGAGTCCCTCAGAAACTAGACTTTGAGCAAGGGCAATCATTTAAAAGGGCAAATCAGACGAATCATCAGACTTCACAAGTAGACTGCTATATATCTTGCATTGGATGGAGGTTTTGCTATGAGGTACCGTTTGTCTTCAGAAATCTGTGACATATCACTTGACCTAAAGAAATAAAACACCTTGAATTATACCTTCTCCTTGAGCGAAATGCCAGGAGAGAGACAGTGTTTGCTTGGTTAACAGTTAACTGTCTCTCTCCCTACAGAGTGATTTTTAATATAAAGTTTGCTGGGCTATATGTACTGTAATCTATAAATTAAAAAGATACCTGATTTACAAGGAAATATACTACAAAGTGCAAATCCAGCGCACCAGCATAATTTCATGTTCCCCTTGCCACCAGCTGATTGTTGCAAATTAAATGTTGTTCTAATCAACCCAAGCTGTTGGAGTATGGGCCAAATGCTGCACAGAGGGAGGTACTCCTGCAATCTGCAGGTCATGTGACTCCCATAAAGCACTCTTTGCTGAAGTTCTTGCTAACTTTACTCTGCTAGATTTCTGAATGCATTTGAAGTACATTTAAATTTTGAAAATGTTCTGCTACAGATGACCCGCACTAGGAGAGATTCTGTGTTAATTCATCCTGGTCTTCCTTGAAAGCTTCATTGGTATTGAAAATGATTAAATTCAGGCCAGTGTACTCTGAAAATAGACAAGATTTACAAGGCATAGGAAAATGAACTTTTTCATAGCTGCCTTGTCTTCAAAGTGACAAAGGTCAACTCCAAATAGATATGACAGTGGAGATGCCATCTCAAAGAGTGTTATCCTTTTTATTATTGTGCTGTCATGAGCAAGGCAGTGGGAGGTGCAAGCCCAGCTTATGATGGGGTGGTCCAGAGCTGAAATGAGCAATCAGCTTAGCAGAAGCAAAGAAACAGGAGGAAGAACATTGTTGCTACATTATCACACAGAAGAGCAACCTAGTACACAAAGAGCTGGGGGTGGGGGCTGTAGGCTATAGGGGTCACACCCTTCAGTCTTTTCCTGGCCTTGGCTCATAAAGCACCCTGCTTCACATGGGAAAGTAGAGGGCACTGGTTTTCAAATTGATTCAACAGAAACAGAACACATATGTTATGAAAAACAGACAGGTTAATAACTCTGGGCAAAAATTAAACTAACAGAATAGCCTGCTCCAAATATTAAATTATAAAATATGTGTACACGCTAAGAACAGAAAGGCAAAATTTCCAATTACGTGATGGCAAGCTAGATCATCAAAAGCCAGAAACTGTTAAGTAAAAGAGCAAAAGAGTCAACAATACTTCCAGTTTTCTTTTCTAGGTAATCAAAGCACAGATCTGATACTTTGAACTAGTTTTGAGGAAACAGTGCCAATATTTGGTTGTTTTCTGCACCCTCTCTCCACCCAGGACATTAAGAGAGTGACTGTTATTCTGAAAGTATAAATATTTGTGTTTGGTGACTCAATTTTGAGATGTTCAACCTAATGACACATTATTTTGAAAGCACACTGTTTGTTTGAGTGCAAAAGGTCCCTGAGGAATTCCCTAACGTGTAAATCTAGGATTGATGTGAAAGAAAGTCTTAAGGCTTAATCAGAACTTGTTTGAGTCAGTCGCAACACTATCAGCATCTTTCTTCAATACTCAAGGGATATTCTAATTCTTGGCCCAGTGCTGAGGAAGGGAAGCTTTTCTAGGCAACAAGATGAGAAATTTAGCTGTATCTGGTGCCTGTGCAGTCCCTGTCCCGGCTCCTACCCTTTGTCATTCCAAGTGCATTCCCTTCCTTCCTGATTTGTCACTGATCTCTGTAAGTGGTCTGCTTTGATGAGTGCTTGCAGGTGGACCATCTCTTAAAATTTGAAGGGCCACACCCTAGGATATCCCCTGTCCCATGAAGTACTATGAGGGACCTGGTACACAGTCATGTAGACTCACCAGCCCAGGTGTCAAGCTCTATTCATACACATGTATCATGGCCCCAGTCATGCTTCAAAGCAAAATACACCCAGCTGGAATGCTGCCATCTTGCATGGTGTCCAGGTGCAGTCTGGAAAGAGGTATGGTTCATCTGGTTGACAGACTACTCGAGGGTCCTGCTACCTAGTATGCAGCTCTAGAAAGGAAATGAAGGCTCTTGGTTGAACAAGTCCCACTGGCCCTGTGGATTCCTCACTTAATGAGTGCTTACATAGATAAATGAATAAATCTGTTATTTGCAAGAGGCCTTGGGGAGTGGTCAGGGCCATGGTGATCCAGACAAAGGGCAGCTATTCCTGAGCTTCAGCTGGCAACTGCCAAATATTTCAAGAGAAATTAGAGATCTTCAATTCTATCAAATCTCCCTGTTGAAAACATTGGCGATTAATTAGTGTTAACAATTAACATGCAAAATATAGATAGCAATACACAAAGGAGAACCAGTCCCTGACCAGTAGCAAATGTGCTGGTCCAAGCCATCTCACCTGCAGGCACCATCAACCACTCAGGCACTCCCAAAGGAAGACCCTCTTCCAGTAAGTGCCTTGATGGTTTCTTGTATATGGCTTATAGGAACACAACTTTAACCTAGAAATTTAGCGTTTGACTTCAGTAAGTGCTAAGTGACTAAATTCTGAGTAGCCATGCATGTATGAGCCAAAATGAATCAGGGATCCTGGAAATTAGTATTTTTTTAATGTACACGATGTTGAGTCACTTTATGGCATTTTACTTTATTATTCCAAAGCAATCCTATTGATGTGTTATACCAAGTCGAGTTTTTGGAAAGAAAACATTCCCATTGAGATGGAGAGTCAGTTGAATAGGAAGAATTTGAGGCTAATGCCTCAAAGGCTATCATGCTACCATATTTCAATTGTCAGGGACCTAAAGCCCAGGAATAACTTGAAAGTCTTCTTAATTAACTTCCTAAGTTAAAATATTCTCATTTTATTAAAGACAATGAGCTTTTTCTCTAGGGCTTGAAAGAGGAGTCCAAATCCAACAGAAAAGTATTCTGCCGATGAGTTTGATTCTGTTACCCAGGGAGTACCCACAGTGACTAAGTGACTTTCTCTCTAGAGCCCATGGTCTAACCACTCCCAGCCTTTTACAGCAAAGACAGATAATTTTTCTTTGTTGCTGATTTACTGACAAACACAGCTCTCAACTCCCTTAAAATATGACAGCCAGAAAATGAGATCTCTCTTGTCATTGCCTATGACATTTAGTTACTGATTTGGTCCAATAACTCGGGAGATTTTCAATTTAATGCAGCGGCATAATAATTGTTTGTTTTTCTTCTCCCAGACTATCTCTAATCACTTTATTTTCAACTTGCACAAGGACTGATAGAGGACATGGGCTTCACCAAGACAATAACAGCTTGTCTTTGGAGCTTGTTTTCCACCAAGGCGGGTATATTTTATAGGCAGAAATGTTAAATTCTAGTTTGAAGGAAGGAAGAGCTTTGACATTGACATTTTGTTCTTTTATGACCTCAGTACATTTCTTACAAATGAAAAGTGGTTTTTGTATTAAAACCTAATTAGATCTTAAAGAGAAGCATCAAGTTTATCAAATCATGGTAGCAGTACCTTGGGTTTCATTTCTTCTATAATTACAAAACACTAAAAGGTAGTGTTCTAGTTATTCCCTAACTCACTTCCACCCCCCCAATGACCTTTTAAAATGATTTTTTCTGCATTTATTCATTTATTTGGTAATTTAATTTGCAATTATTTTCTTTAATTTTAAAGGAAGAGTTTATTTTGGTTCTTAGTTGTGGCCCAGTAGTCCTATTGCTTTGGGTCTACAGCAGTATATTGTGGAAGAAGCACATAGAAAAATGTCATACACATCACAGCTAGTGAACGAAAAAAAAAGGGGGGAAGAGAGAGGGCTGGGGTTCCATGTTCCTCTTTCAGGGAACACTCCCAGTGACTAAAAGGCCCACATCTTACTGTTTCTACTACCTCCCAATAGTATCACAGACTGGGGATAAGGCCATCAGTTGACATTTGAATTCCAAATAGACACCATAGCAAGGCAGGAGCTGCATCTTATGAAGTTAAGAGCCTTCCTTGGAACTTTTACCAATTAGTATTAACTTGCCATATGAGACACTTCCCAATGTTCTAAATAAGAGTCAATATCTGGAGCTGGAGAGATGGCTCAATGGTTGAACACTAGTTATTCTTGCAGAAGAACCGGGTTTGAATCCCAGCACCCACATGGCAGCTAACAACTGTCCATAACTCCAGCCCCAGGGGATCCAACAGCCTCTTCTGACCTCAGTGGGCATTGCACAACACGGGTGCACTTACCTACATGCAGGCAATACACACATACACATAAAATAAAAATAATAAATAAAAAATTTTAAAAGAGTCAATATCTAGACAGTCTCCAGATATTGACTGTCCTCATTTTCTATCTTATTATTCCTCTGTTGTATAAACATCTTTTAATGCCTAATTAAATTTTAAGATGAAATGAAACAGTCTTGTTTCTAACCACAGTATTCTAGGAGCCTGCTTCCATTATTTCAGTCATAACACCTAAGTATTAAGTTAAAATGACAAAATCCTTTCTAGATGAAAGACCAACTTGCATTTCAAAAACCGGCTTCTCTTGGCTCCCAAATTCCAGTCAGACTGCCACATAAATATGCTTGCTTCCTTGTGGTTTTGACTTGGTTGACCTTATTAACAATAGAGTTGATTTTGTAATATGGAATGTGAGCAAGACCTCAAACACCTCTATTGAGATTCAAAATTCATAATTCCTCAGCCTGATATTATTAGATTTGATTTTACAAACGAGCAAACTATTTTTTCAATGACAATCCCAGTTTATTTGTTTATTCTTCAAACTACTTTATTAAGATATTGCTGGCATACAAAATGATAAGCAGACAATGTGTAAGAAGTGTATTCCCACCTTCACGGAGTGAGTTAACACTTCTAGGGTAGTTGAATGTCATAAGACAGAACTGTGGCTCTTTAAAACAAATGATGGTAGCTCATATTATTTGGACATCCCCTGGGTTCAGGCTTAGCAGCATTTCTTACAGGCTCAGCAGCATTTCTGAAAGACCTTCAAATTTGATCTAGATTCAAATGCCTTTTCTTCCCTGGACCTACTGAGAAAAAATAATAATCCTCTGTGAGTGGGCACTGAAGAGGGGCACTTTTTATAAGTTTAAAAATATCTGTGTGTATGCCTGTTTGTGTGTGTGTGTGTGTGTGTGTGTGTGTGTGTGTGTGTGTAATACAGACACACAAGTACCATGGCATGCTTGAGGAGGTCAGAGGTCAGGGGACGGCCTCTGGCTTAGGTTCTTGCCTTCCACCTTGTTTGAGGCAGTGCCTTTTAGTTGTCACTCTTGTGTACTCCTGACTAGCTGCCCCTCAAGCTTCCAGGGATCTCCAGTCTCTTCCCCCGTCCCCACCTCCACATAAGATTACTGAGATTACAGAAGCACACTGCAGGGTCTGGCTTTATGTGGATTCTGGGGATTCAAACACAGCAAGTGCTTTAACCACTGAGCTCCCTCTCCAGCCCTGCTTTTATAAGTTCTTTCAATGAGTCATATGCACTGTACTGTTTTAGACTCTGCTTGCTTTGCTGTCATTTGTAGATGGTTATTATGTAACTAAGAAACTCAGTATGTAAAAGTAGATACTGTCACTGGAACCTGTGGTCATAACAAAAGATAGGCATAGACAAGTACCAGTTCAGAGGAGGCTGATGAGGGGCATTCTCTATGCTCTATACAAAGGCTAAAACCGGATGCCAACCTGGTAGACGCCATAGCTAGCCTGCATGTCTCAAGGAAAGAATAGCTAGTCACTCTTAGTGTCTACTTCTTAAGAAGCACTCATCCAAGACCTTTGCTAAATAATTGAGTTCCTGTGTACCATGATATGCATTTCAGGGGAGCCCTGCCCAGAGAATGGAAGGAGTCCAGGCTCTGTATCAACCCACCACAGCTCTCCACGCAGTGACTACGCAAACTACACCAACAGCAACCATGCTGCCCCCAGTAGCAATGCCTCACCCCCTGAAGGCTTCACCTCCCACAGCCTGCAGACAAGTGATGTGGTCATTCACCGCAAAGAAAACGAAGGCTTCGGCTTTGTCATCATCAGTTCCCTGAACAGGCCTGAGTCTGGAGCCACTATAAGTAAGTGGATGGTTTATCTACATTCTAATAAGGGGTTTTGTTTTTATTTGTTTTAAGGTAGAGATGATAACCAGACAAATAGATCGGAGAATGGATTGGACTTACTAAGTGGCCTAAAAAAGTTTCAGGTTATGGGCACAGAGAAACCTAAACCATTCTTAATGCTGACTAGGCAAATGTGGCCTACCTTGGGTTCAAGAAGGGTGCAAGGCTGCAACAAATGCTCCCCAACGCCACGGCACCAAAAAAAACGTTCATTTTATTTGTACATGGAGGAAAATAAAAGAGAGTGATGTGGTAATGTTGTTGTAAGAGGAGGCATGCTCCTTTTCATGGGCTGCTCAAGGAATGCTTCTCTTCTGATTGAGAGCTGTTCTGTAGAATAAACCAGAGGTGTAAAACCTGGGGGAAAATTGTCCAGCCAGCAGCCTTTGGATGAGAAGGAGCTCAGCATTCAAGAAATATGCAGATTGGGGCTGGAGAAATGGCTCAGCAGTTAAGAGCACTGACTGCTCTTGCAGAGGACCTGGATTTGATTGCCAGCACCCACATGGCAGCTAACAATCTAGTTCTAGAGGAATTCGATGCCCTCTTCTGACTTCCACAGGTGATGGGTCAGTGCTTAAGAGCACTGATTGCTCTTGCAGAAGACCCAGGTTCGATTCCCAGCACCCACATGGCAGCTACAAACCATCCTAACTCCAGTCCCAGGTGAATCTGGAGCCTTTTTCTGACCTCCGTGGCATTGCATGACACGGGTGCACTCACATACATGCAGACAATACACTCATACACATACAATAATAAATAAAATATTAATTATAAAAAAGAACTATGCAGAAGCCCATTGTGCTGTGTTACAGTGAGCAAGGGAGAGTGGCCAAGCCTGGGACATGGAAGTCAGCAGAAGCCAGGAGAAGCGGGCTTCACATACACTCTAGGAAATCTGTATTGTACCCTAAGTGCCAGGAAAGTATTGGAAGGTTTTAAGCAGTGGACTTGAAAGCTGACTTCTTTTTATAGATGCTTGTAGAAAATGAAATGGGAGTGGAAGGAAGCAAAACTGAAAATGTAAGACAGTCAGGAGGCCATTAAAACAGCCCCCTGTGCCAGGCATAGTGGCGCTCACCCTTAATCTCAGCACTCAGGAGGCAGAGGCAGGTAAATCTCTGTGAGATCCAGTCTGGTCTACATAGTGAGCTCCAGGTCAACTGGGGCTACTGTCTCAAAAAGACCAAAAAAGAAAAGGAAAAAAAACAGACCCCTGTGACAGAGAGGCTAGGCACCCCTGAGGTGGTAGTAATGGATAAGGGAGAAGTAGATGGCCTTCAGTTCTGCAGATCCTCCAATGTTAAAGTTCCACGAGTCTACACAACAGGCACCAGGCTGCATTCCTCCCTATCCTGCTGCTGTAGACTCCAGGCCTCCTCGGTTTTCTCTCTACAGCAGTGTCTCAGCACTTCCAGCCCACAGCAAACAAGCAGAGTACAAAATTAGGGACAGGAGAACTTGCCATTTTTCATGTTCAAGTGCTAGGGATATATTTCACTCAAATACAGAAGTATTCAAGTAATAATAATAGTTTACTCATGTTGACTTCGTAAAATTCTTATAAATTTTGATTTCCAGTACATGTGACGTGGGAAGGTATGTCAAGCAGTACTATAAAACTCAAATTATCAGGAATGAATAAGAGCTTCTATGATAAGATTAATTTTATCAAAACCCACCAGAACCACATGGACAGATCTGCCCTGTTTAGCATGAGCCTTAACAAATTCAAGAGCGAGAACTACAGAAGCATTAAACCTCAGCAAATATGTGCAAAAGCCAAATTGCATGCATCTGAAAACACAGTTTCATTTCTCTTTTTCTTCCCGATAAGCTGAAGGAATAAATCCAATCTTTAAGCATAGACTAAAAGTAGAATTCTGTCAGTACGATGGATTCACCAAGATTAAAAGGACACAAAACTGAGGATTTTCATGAATTATATAAACAGACTCCCAATAACTTACACTTTGGGGAAATGTTCACAGAGAGCTTTTGCAGCGATTCTAGTCATTCAAAATGTTTATTGGGGCAGAATACCTAGAGGACTGGAACAAAAATAAAAAGCATACTACCACCATAAAAATGTTACATATTTTCGGTCTCAGCTTTATTTAAAGCATGACAGGTTTCTTCCTAATTGTGTAAGGAAATGTATGCATGTGCTTTTTCTATTGCAAATAGAATCCATGCAAAGTAGGTTTGGGAAAACAACAGGTGCTAATGCTTGCAATTAATATGTGAGTTTTGCAGCCTACTGAGTGATATCACGTTGACTTCAAAAAGTAATTCTAACCACTTACAAAAGGGGATCATTTTGCATCACCCAGGAGTGTATGAATGTATCCTGCTAGTGAATGAGGCCTCTTGGCTGCTTCTTTTCACATCTTTATTTCATTTCAGTTTGAGGAGTTCGAAACACAGGTTGCCACATTTGCTCTGTGCCAAATGCAACTCTTACACTGATAACATGTGGCATTTATAGTATATAATTTACAGCCTGCACCTAAAGTTTCCTGGAGCTGATGCTCTTTCCTATTTAACCTCTATAATAATTTTGATCTCTAATTTCAGAAAAAAAAATGCTAAAAGCCTTTTGCTTGGGGAAGAGCAATCCTTGAGCCTCATATCCATAGCCATTGTGAAGATAGCAAAGGTGGTGGCTCTCAGTGTCTGGGACAAGGTCATGCTATCAGATGCTTCCAGGTCACAGTCACTCCTCATATCCTTCCCTTGTGGTGTTTTTCTCTTCATATCTTACCACAGCCCAAAGGTCATAAGCAATTCATTGTGTTATTTGTTTGATGTGGCTACTGAAGATTTTTCATTAGTGGACAGGGCCATTGTGCATTTGATAAGAGGATCATTAGATATAGGCAAGAGGATGGCAAGGGGTTAACCACTCAGGTGCTACGCCAGACTGCCTGGCTTGGAAAGCTGACTGTCACTTGGAAAGCTGACTCTGTCACTGACCTTGAGGAAGTTGCATGGCCTCTTTGGATCTCAGCTTCCTTAATCATAAAGCAACCTTCATTTTCATTCCTCTGTCATGGGATGCAGTAAAAGTTAAAGAAATTCATACACGGATATGTTGCAAACAGCCATGACTCCAAGTAAGCATGAAATATATTGTTGCTGCTGTGTGAACGACTGTTCTTGTTAGGAACCTCTTTTGGTACACCAGCTCACTCTTAGGCAACACAGAGTTCACACTGACTGTCAGCCAGCAGTTAGCAAAGCCACCCACTCTCCCAGGGGAGCTAAATCTAGGCAGTATCTTGAAGGGCAGCACCTCTTCCCCGTGTGTCAACATGAGAACATAGATTTTACAGCTACCTGCCCACCTGCAGCCTGTGTCTGCAGTCAGGCAGATAGAGCAGTGGTACCCCAGCCTATCCGGCTGAATCTTTGCAGGAAGCTTTAGGCTAGAATTCCAAGTTCTGCTTTCCAGAATCTACAAACCAGGAAACTGTCAGAGTGATGGAAATTATCAAACTTAAAGCCATACCTTTTTAAAATCTCCCTGCAAGCATTATGTCACCATTGAATATTATCAGTGTGGAGAGGAAAAATGAAGAACCCAAATTTAAGCTTCACTTCCCTGCGGATAGAGATCCCTTCCACAGCTTCTTCAGCCCAGACAACTTTGCCAGGGTCCAGAGATGTTCAATTAGTTAGGAAATGCTGGGGTAGGGTTTCTGGCTTATTGGTTGCCAGGCATTTAGTAGGGTTTCATATCAAAGCCTTAAATAGTCTTTTTAAAATATTAGTTCATCCAAAATTAATTAATTAATTAAATTTAATGTTAGTTTCCCAAAACATAAGGAAGGAACATTCTTTGTATTAATGAATGTGATGAATGAGCAAATTTCTTCCCTTCAAGGCTGGTGACCCAGAAGGCCACCCATCACTTAGAACTGAACAGATCTTAATGCTTGTTATCTCTAGTGCAGAAATATCCTTCTTGATTTAAAGTAAAATTAGACAGCAAACTGAGCATTTGTGTCCCATTATTGAAAAGTATTCGATATGTTTTCGGGTATCATAATTAGGTCCAATGGAAAACAATGTCAGTTCTAGACCTGAATTCAAGTTAAGGGTGAACTAAAATAGACAATTATATTTCAAATTCTTAAAAAGAATTATGAAGTTCTATGTACATACAAATGTGTCAGTTTTCTGTTATTATGACAAAGTACCTGAAAAAATCAACTTAAGAGGAAAGATTTGTCCTGGCTCCTAGTTTCAGAGTTTTTAGTCCACAGTCCTGGGCGCTATTGTTTTGGAGCGTCAGGTGAGGAGCAGCATCATGGCAGAGGTATGTGATGGAGAAAATCCGTTCACCTCACAGCAACTGGGACACAAAAGAAAGAAGTGGGGTGGGGGGTGCAGGCTCCCAAAATCCCCTTTTGGGTACATCCCCAGTGACCAACTTCCTTCTAGTGAGCCCAAGTGGCTATGTACAGCGGGTTGATGGGCTTGCCTTGACCATCCCTGAAGCAAGGCCTCTGAGTCTTGCTATCCAGGTTTTATTGCCTACTTTGAACTGTCCTTACAGGTTCTTCCTACTTCCCCATCAAACCTGCTGTCCCATCAGAGGTTTCTAAGAAGGGCTTCAGTCCAAGAGATGAAATGAAAGTGACCCTTAATCTATCCCTTTTCTTCAATTTGTCAGGAAAGCTATATTGGAATTTACTGGGCAGGCATACATAAAAAGTTTGGACTTTGGTAGTGGAGATTGTTGACTGAATTTAAAAATTTAGATATAGACCCAATAGCAAGCTATGATGTCAGCCCATTCAGGACATAAACAAGAGAGAGCAATCATTTCCATCCTTTTCTCTTTGCGTTTTTCTCCTGGTGCTAACTTGGTTTTCTGTCTTTATCCTTAAGTGTATCTGTGGCCAGCAAGCTGGTGACTCCTCAGCAGTCTCTCAGCTGTTTACTGA